TGAAAACTCAGCCTTGGAAAATCCCAGTGTGGAGTCACCTCTGAAGGCAGAAGGTGATGCTTTGGTGCCGGTGAATGAGAGCCCCACCAGCATCCAGGCCCGCTGCACGTGGTCTCCCTCAGCTTCCCCTTCCACCAGCATTTTGAAGAGAGGTGCAAAGAGAAGTCACCAGGATGATGAGTCCCTGTCACCTGCTCATAAGGTATTGCCCTGGGGATTATGTGACATTTCCTTCATAGCTGGGGTGAGGAACAGTGCCTGTAACGTAGTGAACTCCAAATACGTTGGAATGTTGGGTTTCATTGTGAATAATCTTATGCTGAAGCTGAGGTTTCTTTCTGGAATGTGCCAGCACTGACAGACTTTCATTGTGAGGGCTTAGGTGAGGGGTTTTATTTTTGAAACAGAGCACCAGAGCCTGATCTGGAGCACTGCAAAACTCAAGGTCAACATCCCCATTTACCACTGGCAGAGAGGAATTCCACGGTGTGGCCTTGGGTGAAACGTTTCCTGTGTCAGTCAAGAACTTTAACGACCTCATTTCAAACTGAAAGTTGTTCCCCAGGCCCTGGTGGTTTGAATCCACACTGTAAAACCTCCTTTCCTCCCCACAGATCCGTCGGGTGTCCTTTGCAGATCCCATTCACCAGGCGGGGCTGGCGGACGACATCGACAGGAGGAGTCCCGTGGTCAGATCCCACTCCTCACCCTCTTCCAAAAGCCTGAAAATCTTGTCTAGTATTCAGACTAAGGTGAATTCTTCATAATATATTCTGTGTTCACGTTGTTTATTGTAGGGAGTGTGGCTTTAGTGCATGTTTGTAGTCACTTAGCACAGTTGTAAGAGCAGAGGGTCAGTCAGTGTGAGAAGTAGCTGTAACTGCTTTAGTCTGACTTGTTCTCTTACTCTCAGATCTCAGGGGGTAGAGTCTGACAACTGAATTCCTACTATTAACTGAATTCCTTCTATTAACTGTTCCTACAATTCTGAGAGATATTTTTTTCCTCTTTTTCTATCCAGCACATTACCACTCCAACCAAAGGATTTCTGTCCCCAGGATCTCGTACCCTTAAATTTAAGAGCTCAAAGAAGTGTTTAGTAAGAAGTGCTTTGGTTCATGTTTCTCTTCTATTTTTTTTCCTGTATTCAGTCATGTGACAGTTAATTTAACACCTTTCCTGTGTTAATCCAGATCACAGAAATGGCCAAGGAGTCTCTGCCATGCCCTATGGAACATGTGTACCCAGCCTTGGCTGGCTGCAAAGCTCCTGTGGATGTCATTTTACCCCAGATCACATCAAACATCTGGTAAGTGGGTTGTTCCTTTAAAGGGGACGTTTCAATAGAAACTGAATTCTTACAGAACCTACAAACCCACCTTTTGCGACAACTTACAGGTGTCTTCAGCCAACATTTTTTCAAAAGGAAGGAGGTTGGTTTGTTGGGGGGAGAGACTTGACTAGTTTGGAATTCTTCAATTCCAGCACAGGAAAACAAAGAGCACTAAAAATGCTGACATACACATAAATAGACATATGGAAGGAACACAGAGAGAGATAAGGGGAAAGAGAAGGGCCAGGGTCCAGGACCTCTTGCCAAATATCAAAAACTCCTGCCAAACACATGTTGGAGTGAGCAGAATTAAGGAAAGTTCAAAAGTTTACCTGAGGGAGAGGAGTGAAACGATGACCCCTGAGGCTGAAGTAACAGGAAGTACCACTGAGATTCTCCCCAGAATGATGACCCAGCCCCTGACTCTGCCCTAACTCTGCCTGCTATGAATATTATATCTAGATGTTGCAATAATATGAATATGCATCAAATGATGATGTAATCTCTCACAAAAATGGTATAAATAGTCTGGCTTTTCACTGAGTGCTTCAGAGCTCTTTGTCCAGCGTGAGCTGGAAGTTCCCCAGCGTTACCTCGCTGCTTAAAGACTAAAGGTTGTCTCTGAGCAGTTCTGTCGCACCTTTTGGGGCATGAAATTGGCATCAGCAGGTCTCTTCCCATTCTGGATATTCCATGATTCTCTGGTAATAACCCATTTCCCTCCCCTGCTGCAGTGCCAGAGGTTTGGGGCAGCTCATCCGAGCCAAGAACATCAAGACCGTGGGGGACCTGAGCTCTCTGACAGCCCTGGAAATCAAAACCCTTCCCATCCGCTCTCCCAAAGTCTCCAATGTCAAAAGAGCTCTCAAGGGATATCATGAGCAACAGGTAAAGCTGAATTTTAACACCCAGGGAGCCAGTATTGCCCTAGTGAACTGATAATGGCCGTCATGAGGAATGATGTGTTTTTCCCCTAATTAAAAACAGCACTTTGAAACCTGATCCCTGCCTGTCTCATTATGTGGGAATTCAAGGTACAGATGGCTTGGTTACACTATTATTATTAACAGGAATGATGATTGTGTTTACTGTGACATGTATTTATTATTTATGTATTCATTGTTGTATTTCTCACCACGTAATCTAATTTTATTTTTGTTGTTATAAAAACGTTTGTCTCGTTCTGTCCCCCACGATGCTCAGGTAAAATCTCGAGTGTCGGAGGAAATGGTGGTGCTTGAAGATGCTGAAAAGCCTGTAAATGATGTGGAGGATAAACCACTCTGTGCAGATGAAGAAAAGCTTGGAACAGGTACCTCTTGGTGGCTTTTTGCTTCAGATTTGGAGAGTTCTGCTGTCTTTGTTCTCTCCTGATGAGAACACTTGATGCTTTTATTTTTTATTTTGGGTGTGTTAGTAGCCAATATTACCACATTTAATGCTGCTTTACGAAGTCCTGGAGCAGTGGCTTTTTAAAACTTACATAATTTTGAGGGGAAAATGCTGATTTTCCCTAAAGAAGCAAAGAACAAATTAGGCAGGGCTCAAATGACTCCTGAACTGTTCCATGTTTGGTCCCTGCTGGGGGTGCACAGAACAAACATGGTGAGCAGAGATAATGAAGTGGTGCCTCATCCTGAGCGGGGGGACAGGAGTGGGATGATTCCCTGGACACCCAGCTGGGATTTGCAGGTGTAGATTTTTATTTGGATTCTCCTGTGTCTTCCTGGAGTTTGGCCTGGTGGCTCAGAATCTGTGTTTGTTCTCCCAACAAGAGACTGGAAGCAGAACAAAAAGCTCAGGGGTGACTTCTCTTCAACTCTCCAGTTTAAATGTGGGAGTTAAGTGTGAGATTTGGGACACTGGCATTGTCTGATGGGATCAAATCCTGTCATCTCTGCCCTTGGATCTGTTGTACAGCCATGGTCAAACACAGCAAAACTCACCAGAAGGAAGGCTGGGCTGGAGTTCTGAGGGCTCACTTTGTCAGGAGCACTCCTTGTGTGGAACAAACACTTTGTGGGCTGCTTGAAGATGTTATTTTGTAGAAAACCAGCTGGAATTCTGCTTACATCTCCCTCCACTTCCCTCTTTCCCTTCCTTTCAGACCTGGCTGAGCCAACCGTGCCCAACACGAGCGACCAGCCCCCGGCAGATCTCCTGAGCCAGATCCAGGCCCTCTCTGCCCAGCTCAGCTCCGAGGATCTCCACAGCTATTCTGGGAGCCAGCTCTTCGAGATGCAGGAAAAACTTGCTGACATGTCCACCTGCATCCTGAAAAACCTGCAGTCCCGCTGGAAATCACCACCCCACAACAGCTCCCAGTAGCTGCTTCCCGGGGCTCAGTAAGGAGGATTTTGTTACAACAGGTTTTTTTCTCCCCCCCACCTTGTTTTTCTTACTGGTGATTTACTCCTTAAGCTGTGCATTTTGAACAGAAGATATTTTTTAACTCCTACATCAATTTATTGTCATGGGATTGTTGGTTTGTTTTTGTTTTTGTTTTTTTTTCTTATTCTTTTTATTGTTGTTGTTGTTGGTTTTCCCCCCCCAAATTTGTGGACTGCTTCCTCCCTGGCAGAGGTATTTGTCTTGTGTTGCTATGCATATTTCTTTCAGGCAGTGAAAGAGAACTTGACAAGAGTTGTGCAATAGCAAAGAGACTGTGAAACCAAACCAACAGAGTAGTTAAATTATTTTTTCAGACCCGAAGTGTTCTTAGTGCTGCAAACTCTTCCTGTGAGGCCAGAGCTGCATCTCCCAGCTCTGCGGCTCTGCTGTCCCGGGGGGTTCCTTTGAGCTGCTCAGACTCTGCCACAACAGCACCTATGAGGTGAACTGGGCTTAATTCCTTAAGCAGGAACCTGGGATTTGTACTGGATCTATTTTTCCACGTATTTTTGTACGACTCACACTAAGAAGGGGCAGGACGGGCGTGCACAGACTCTGCGAAGCCTCCCGGGCTTTGCCCCGTGTCCGTGGGTGGCAGCAGTTCTCCTGGTGGGAGAAGACTTTTTCCTTGGGGAAATGAATGAATTTGGCAAGAAGCTTCTTGTATATTGTGTACAGACTGACAGCAGATGTTTGGTTACTAATTTATGATGGGGGTTTTAATTGCATGGAATGCGTTGCTGCTTCTCGGAGACCTTCAGCGAGAGTTCCCGGGCTTTCCTCTGGAATTCTGATCTGTATATATTGTACTGTAGCTATCAGAGTGGGTGTTTATTGGAAGGAACTGCTGCAGGTGGTTTTTAGGACTTACACATGGGCAAATAAAAGAGAAAATAGTTCCCAAACTTGTTCGTGTCCCCGTGGTTTGGTGGTTGTGGGGTTTTGCCTGTTCAGCTCCCCCTCGGCATTCCTTTGGATTCCCAAGGCTGGGAGGGACCTTGGAAGGTCTCCAGTGCTGCTGTAAGGTGGGAGCAGGTGCTCAAGGATGTGGTGGGATCATCAGCAGGATTCTGAGTATTCTGTTTGTGTGTCTCATGGACAAAAGGAACAGGACAAAGAGGTGGCCTGGAGCTGTGATGGGAAGTTGGCTGTAGGGTTTTGTGCTTCCCTGGAAATGTTACTTTGGTTCTAAATCTGCCTCCTTAAGTGTGTTCAGCTCTTACATCCAGTGATCTGTGAGATCAGTTCCTGCTTTCAGCACAAGGGAACACATCCATCCTACTGCAGAAACATCAGCTTTATTCAGTCACTAATTTACAAGAAATAACAGCTTTTGACCCCAGAACAGTTGCACGAAGAACACGTTCGTGAGACCTCAGCAAGCAGGAGAGGGTTTCTTTTTCCTCTCCCCAAATAAATTGGTTTGAAATACTAAGCTTAGATGTTGCTTATTTGTGAAAGGAAGTGAACAGATTTAAACACATAGCCCAGAAACAATTCTCTAGTTTTTACAGAATGAATAAAGTAATGCTTGGTAGTCTTAGTCTTAATACTGGTATCAAATTTTGAAGATACTGAACTGTAGTTGTAGTGTCACAGTATGGTGTGTGATGAAATGTTGGAAATTCCAGGCAACATTTAAAAAAAGGTGGGTTGTTTTTTTTTTTTTTTTTTGGCATTGGAAGAAATGCAAAGTAGTCTTTTACAGGTGACTTTTCAAAGATGTTCTGAAATAACGTTTCAAGAATATTTTGCTCTGCAGTTACTTTTACTCACAAGGCGCCGTCGCCACGGCCAACGAGGCGCTTTGGGAGGTGTCACCCCCCTTTTCTGCCCCTCTGGGCACTGGCAGGGGTTGCTTACACGGCCTCCACGTAGTTTGCCGGGAGCATCCCGGTCTTGCCGGTCCTCTGGACTGTTCCATACATCCAGCCCTCGTCGATGGCCTGGACGTTCACGATGGTGTCGCCGTCCTTGAAGGAAACCTCGTCGGCGTCGGCCGCCGTGTAATCGTACATGGCCCGGTACGTCTTCTGTGGGGAGGGACAGAGGCACGGGGTGAGCCCTGACAGCAGGGAATGGGGCACCCACAGGGGCTGGGGACACCCTG